CTGTGTAGACGACAGAACAGCATGGGCCAAAAGCTTGGGACGAGAAGGAGGCGTGGTGGGGAGCCAGCAATCATTAGTAATGTGGATTTGTGTGCCGGATCCAACGAGCCAGCGGAGACCTTGCAGCAAGAGATCACGCCCAAGCAGAACGCCTTGCCAGGCCCAGGATGGCCGAGCTCCTTGAACAGCCTGCAAAAATGAAGTCTGAGGAAAATATTTAGCTTTATATAGCACGCCTAGAGCACAATCCGGAGAATGGAGGATTCGCCATGCTTGTTTGGCTAGAAGAGCAATATTATTGCTGTCGAAGTCTCGAAATCCGAGTCCACCATGGATCTTGGGCCGACACAGCGATCGCCAGGATGCCCATTTCATACCTTCACCTCGATCTTGTTGAGCCCACCAGAACCTCTCCAAATGACCATTAAGTCGTCTACAGGAAGTTGATGGTATGCGGAAACTAAGCATAGCATAGTTCGGCAAAACATTGGCAACGGACTTCAGGAGGGTTTCTTTAGCAGCAAGAGATAGAGCCTTGGATTTCCATTGTTGAAGTCGAGAGACTAGCTTATCTTCAATGAATTGAAAGGTAGCTTGTTTGGACCGAGCAATATGATTAGGAAGTCCTAAATAGCGATCTTCTAACGTGCTTTCCGCTACTCCCAACAAATTGGTAATGGCTGCTGCATCATCAGAAGAAGTATTTCTGCTAAAAGTGACTGATGATTTATGAAGATTGACTTTTTGCCCACTGACCTGTTGATAAGAGGCAAACAAAGAGAGGAGGTTATGACATTCCGGGATTGAAGCTTTGAGAAAAAGATAAGTGTCATCAGCGTAAAATAAATGCGATATCACCGGACATCGCCAATGCACTTTTATCCCATGAAGAAACTGAGCTTGGATTGCCTGGTCAATAAAATGAGAAAAACCTTCTGTATAGAGAGCAAAAAGCAGAGGAGATAGGGGATCTCCTTGGCGGATACCACGTTCCGGATGAAAGAAACCGTGCGGGCTCCCATTAATCAAGACCGAGAAAGACACAGTAGTGACACATTGTTTAAGCCATTGTAACCATTGAGCACAAAAACCCAGACGTTGTAACAGAGAGAACAAAAATTCCCATTCAACCCGATCGTAAGCTTTCTCCATATCTAATTTTAAGGCCATCCACTTATCTTGGCCAACAATATTAGTTTTCAGGAAATGCAACACTTCCTGCCCGATAAGAATGTTATCATAGATTAACCGACCCTTGACAAAACCATTTTGAAAGGGACTTACCACATGAGGGAGGATAGCAACTAGGCGAGTGGAGAGAATCTTCGAAATCACCTTATAAAATACCTGACATAAGCCAATGGGTCGCATTTGCCTCATCGATTCTGCATTTGGGACTTTAGGTAATAAGGTGATCCAAGTGTGGTTAAAGTTAGGCAAAAGGTGGCTGGTGACAAAGAATTCCTGTACTGCAGCCACAACTGAATCTCCAACCAGACCCCAAAAAGATTGGAAGAAATGCCGGTAAAACCGTCTAAACCAGGGGCCTAAAATCCTCCTATACTGAAAACAGCAGAACGAATATCCTCGCGAGAAACAGAGGCAGTGAGGGAAGCATTCATATCGTTAGTAACCATAACCGGCAGTCCCAAACAGTCTAAGAATGATTGAACATTTGAGGATTCAGAAGTGAATTGGAGAATGAAATATTGAGTAGCTAACATACCTTTATCAGATTCCTCAGAGTGGAGAACGCCATTTTCATCGCGGATGGCAAGAATCCTATTCTTACGACGTCGCTGCAAGGTCGTTAGATGAAAAAACCAGTGTATTTGAGTCTCCTTCCGTTAAGTAAGTGATTCGGGATTTCTGTTGCCAGTAGAGTTCTTCCTGGAGGTAAGCTTCAGCTAATTGTTGCTCCAGTTGACTGATAGTTACCCAATCAATTGGATAGTTCGTTCGAAGAGAAGTGATGGCATCCTGAGTCTCGCGAATCGCCCGAGCAGAATTAGAAGTTCCTTTAGAGGCCCAGCTGAAAAGGTGGTGGCGGGAAGACTTCAAGGTGGAATGGAGTTGGAATTGAAAGGTACCACTGTAGGTACGATGCCATTCAGATTCTAAGATTCCTTGAGCTTCCAGATTATCAATCCAGCGAGCATCGAAGTGGAAATTTGCCTTCGTACGAGCCGCCGCGGGATGTAGCTGCAGCAAAATCATACGATGGTCAGATCCAAGATCAGAGAGATGGTGAATTTGCATACCTTGCCAAGAAGTAAGGGCCGAAGGCGACGCCAAGCAGCGATCGAGGCGCTCCATGATATGATCTTGAGGTGATCGCCATTGGACCATGTGAAAGGAGGGCCAAGAAAACCCAGGTCCTGCAAGTTAAGACGGGAAAGAAAGTTCTGCAGAATAGACAAGGAATGTGATGTTGGAGGTCTGCCTCCCAACTTTTCAGAGGAAACTAACAGACAATTAAAATCACCCTATTTAAAGGAAGGAGTGGAGAGAGGCAAAAGGTAATCAGAAATGGCATTGAATTGATTTATTCGTTCCCCCTCATTACAACTCAGATGCACGAAGACAATAGTAAAGACTCCATAAACTTGGTGAACACAATCCACTACCAAGAAAGCAGAACATTGAAACACAACTGAACAGGCCACTTCCGAGGTCCAAGTAACCACCATACCACCGGAAGTGTTCACAGGACTGACAAGGACAGAATCTGAAAAACCTAGACGAGCAAGACGCGCTTTAACTTTCCTATCACGACACTTTGTCTCACAAAGAAAAACAATCATGGGAGACCTACTAAACACGGCAGATAATAAGGACCGACGAGCCAAGGATTTGCCAAATCCTCGACAATTCCAAGCCAGGATACTCATATCTTGGATTGGGACCGATCAAGGTCGGTTTCCACCACCTGAACAGACGGAGCAACATTGGCAAGGTGCCTGACTGGACCCTCCACGCACAAAGCTTTGGATGCTGGGGGGATTTCGCCATCTTCGAGAGTGGAACGTTTGCGGGAGTGAGAGTCAAGATGCAAGGATAGAGTGCCAGCAGCAGCAGGTTCTAAGGATAGGCGCTGCATTCCGGAAGTATCCCGGTCATGGGTGGATGGGCGGTCGGCAGATTTGGAGTATTGGCCGAGAGGCCTCTCAAAGCCAGGGCGATTCCAAGAGAAACGCGCAGCCTTCCTACGTAGAGTGTGTTCATCCACTCGGGAGCCCTTGTCATAAGTTAGGATATGCTTCCCATAAGGTAGATCCTTCCCAGCAAACTCGGAGATGAACTCGCAGCGAGAACTAGTATGGCCTATGACACCACAGCAAAAGCAAAACAGAGGTAATTTCTCATAAAAAACAGAGGCTTTGAAGAATCCTTTACTGTTGTCTTCATGCGAGGCTGTAACGGAAACAGGCAGAGGTCTGGTGATGTCAAGCGCCACTTTTGCCCGGAGATACACGCCACCAGTCCTGCGGCCGATGTGAACAGCCGCTTCTTTCAGCTCACCCATGGTGGAACCCAGGCATCGGGCCATTAATACTGTGTGTCCTGCAGAAGGGACTTTCCAAAATTGCACCCAAAGGGGAATTTGGTAAAGGGAGTCAACAACCTCCGCAGAAGGAGAACACCAGGGGCGAAGATGGATCAGGAATCGAGGCTGAATCCATGGGGATTTGTCTCGGACGTGGGCAAGGTCAGCGGCATCAGAGAAGATGAACTGGGTAAGTCCCTCTTCCACCGGCAAAACAGCCAGCGATCCATTACAATTCCAGAGGTCCACCAAGAAGCTCTGCAGACTACCAACGGAAGGGGCGGGGCCATCGGAATTGAGTTCTGCCCTCTCCTCCGCAGCAGCAATAATCGCATCATTGTAGACAGCAACAAGCTCAGCCGCCATCGGAATTCGAAAGTTAGGGATCGCACGGAGGATGAGAATGAACGCAAGGGGAAAATGGCGGTGGAACAGGGAATCAGCATAGTGCAATCGACGCCTTAAAAGGTCGATTGAAAGACCCATAAGGGAGCCCAACCGCTTCGAAGGCGGAGGCATGTCGCACAACGGCGAGCACTGACGGAAACCGTCAGTCGTGGGGAGAGGAGAGGACAGCCCACGGTTTTTTTTTTATAACTTTTCGCTAATCCACCCTCTGCAATCAATTCCTCGGGTTCGTCGTCCTGAGGAAGGGCAAGGACATCAGAAATGCGCAGCGGAACCTGGCCGGAGGATGTGGCGGCGGTCGGGAAGGAGGAACTACTGGGTGGCGAATGGAGGTTTCAAGTGACTTTTCCGTTTCCTGATGAAGAGTACCTATTATGTATAAAAGGATATAAATGTAACTTTAACATTTCTTAGGACCGTGTTTAGTAATTGTTAGTAGGGTTGGCTCTTTGGTCCGGTTTTTTTGTTTTAATCCAAATCGGACCGTATAACCCGGACCGAGACCGGACCTGAACCGAATAGTAAACAATTCAATCCAATCTTTGGGCTTAGATTTGAGGTAAAAAAATCATTAGGGACTGGATCGAAAACTGGATAAGACCGAATAAGAGAGCTTAACACCTAAAACTTAAGGGTAATTTGCATAAACGGTCACAAACCTTTGCACTTAGTACAAAACTTAACCAACTCCTCACCCTTTCAGGCCTTAGGCCACTCAAATCCCCACAAACTCAATATAAAATCAAAACCGAATTGGGACCGTACCGGGTCAAGACCAAATTGTATCCAATCCAATCTTTGATCCTTATATTTTCAAAAAAACCGGACTGGATCAAATCAATTTGAGCCAATTTAACCGGATCGGACCGTATAACCATCCTAATTGTTAGGAACGAAAAATAGCAATTTAAAAAAAAAAAAATGCACACGCTGTTTACTACTATTACACGATGTGTGTCATCTTTGGCCGCCTGGCTGCTTGGCTCGTTTTCTCTCCTCTTAATTTTCCCGGAAAATTTCTTAACGCTACAAAACCAAGAGAAGCTTTTTTTTTTTTTTTTTAATTTTACTCCTTCCGTCCGCGACCCTCTAAAGGAATCGATTGCTCATTTCTCCCTTCTCGTCTGCGCAATCCCCTAAATAGCAGGAGAGGGAAGATCTGGAGCTGCATCAAAATCAGCGATCAGCGGAGGAGAGGGAGGTGGTGTACCAATGGGTCAAGCCTTTCGGAAGCTCTTTGATTCTTTCTTCGGCAACACCGAGATGCGGGTACTTCTTCCTCGCGCTCTTTCCTCTTATGCCCGACCTTGATCACTGATATTCTATCTCTCTATTGTACAGCCAGCTTTCGCTCTTCTGCCAGCTCGTTCCATAGCTAGGTTTTGTTTGTTGATGATGAGATTTTGATCGATTTGTTCTTCTTTAGCTCTTTCAACCGGTTTAGTGATTTCATTGTTCGAAAGTCACATTAATCCGCTGGAGTTAGTCTTAATCTTAACTTTTAGCTTGTTATCCTCAATTTAGTGTAGCCGCTTGTTCTGTGTGCAAATTCATTGGAGAAGAGAGATGGGTTTGTGTGCATCCGAATTGTAATAAATTTCGTATCAGATCTTTACTCTAGGCTTTACTTCTGCGAAATGAAGAAGTTCTTAACTGGTGACTTGTTGTGAATAATGAGAGAGGGGTGGGATTTGGATTGCTCAGCATTCCAAAGGATCTTTACTGTAGTAAGTGTTCTGTTTTTGGACTTGGCAGGTGTTTAGCTATATCTCCGACTCCCAGGGAGCCAAAAGGTTGTATGTTATTAATTTTGTACTGGTATTCGTCACAGGACCATCACCTTGCCAAATGCTAGTGGATAATAGTTCTTTTAATGTTCTTTCACCAAGAAGTGGCACTGTTATGTTGGACATAGATGCTTGCGTGCTTGATGCAAGCAAGCTTCTCAAGTTATATATGTAGAATGATATTGGCAATCCTCTGCATGAAGGATTCTTCTTCAAATCTCATTGTACTCTAATTATGCCATATTTAATGGATGATGGGTTGACATCAAATGCCTGGGACAGCATCAAGTTTAAGTCCCTATATGTCAAGAAGAGTTCGAGATTACTTTTGTGTGCTGTTGCTGATTCTTTTTTCCAGCATTCTGTCCTTGATATGTTCAGTATGTGATGTGGTTCATTATTTGTAATTGTCTGTATATGAGTGAATACTGGTGCAAATAACTCTTTGAATGCGACCAGGTAATCAAGTCATAGTAACTTGGTAGTTGGTACAGACGCTAAGTTACAGGTGCAAGTGCATAGTTGAGAACTTAATGACCTTTTTTGTGTGCTTGTTTCGGGAAGGGTGGTGTGGGTGCATTTGTAACAAAACAGGGGCATAATTGAATGAAAAAAATTACACCAGTTCAACAAATTATGTGCATTTTTGTCTTCAAACACGGTGCAATGTTCATTGAAGTTTGATACATGTGAGAAAATATTTTTTTTCTGTGTTCTCATATATATGTGATTCTTTGTTTGCTTTTTCAGGAACTCGGATATGACTTTGGTTATTCCAGTTCTTGATTGATTCTTATTCTTATTGCTGGCCTAGGTTGTGATGCTGGGACTGGATGCAGCTGGTAAAACAACTATACTTTACAAGCTACACATTGGAGAAGTTCTATCTACGGTCCCGACAATAGGTAAGTGGTCGATTTGCCTGTTGTTGGAAGCGCCACAAATAAGAAGGAACGTGATCACATTCTTCATGGTCAATATATTGGACATTTTCCTCATTTGATAGTGTATTTGTTGGTTCTGAAATTTTAGTTCTGGATATCTGTTGTAGGTTTCAACGTGGAGAAAGTACAATATAAGAATGTGGTGTTCACTGTTTGGGATGTTGGAGGCCAAGAAAAATTACGACCACTTTGGAGGCATTATTTCAATAATACTGATGGCTTGGTATGACCACGTGTATAACTTTTCTTATTAAATTTTACTGCTGAAATCCATTATACTGTGAACTATGTGCCCTCCATATCTGCAACTACGCATTGTTTTCCTACTTACCCTTTAAAAAGTATTTATATTTCATGTGCATACCAAAATCCTTGTTGCCGTGAAATAACTATTAGCTCCAAGTAGAAATAGAAATAGAAATACTAGTACAAGTCAGAAATAGAAATACAGCTTTCATAAATCTCTGTTGTTGGGGGCTCTTTTTGTTCGGTGCTAGTGTTTTTATATGTTTTGTTGTGAGTGTAGGCAAAGTTCCAATTATCACAGGAGTTGAGTGAGTATTCTTTTGTAGTTGTGGATCAGTGCGTAATACGTGCCCTTGATGCAGATATATGTGGTTGATTCCTTGGACAGAGAGAGGATTGTCAAAGCAAAGGCAGAGTTTCAGGTTTGCACATCCCATGCAATCTAAGTTTAAGAAATTTGCTACATTATAGGAATCAAGAAGAGTCATTGAATGAGATAATCTCCCTAATGTGTTGCAGGCCATAATCAAAGATCCGTTTATGCTTAACAGTGTCATCTTGGTGTTTGCCAACAAACAGGATATGGTACGTTTGTGTCAGTAGCTGTGATGTACATGTTCATAGTCATATGATAGAATTGTTATACACCTGTCATGCTCGACCAACATGTTGGGTGGTTTTCAGAAAGGTGCAATGACTCCAGCGGAAGTAGGCCAAGGGTTGGGCCTATTCGAACTCAAAAACAGAAAATGGCACATACAAGGGACGTGTGCGCTAAAGGGAGATGGGTTATACGAGGGCCTGGACTGGTTATCTAGTACTCTGAAAGAGATGAGAGCTGCTGGATACTCTTCAGTTGGACCATCAGCATTCTGAAATTACAGGTTGTCTATTTGTTAACTCTTTACTCTAAACGAATGAGCGCAATAGATCTCGTTCCTTGGTAATTGATTTTTGTTTGATGTTTGCAGATCGCGTGGATACAGGTTCTTAGTGAAGCAACTGGAGATTGATTCCATGGAAGTGGCCAATTTGTAGATTTTTGCGGGGTTTTGTCTCCCTTGTACTTCCGTAGTTGCCTGATGCAACTTTCACTTCGATCAGTGTATATATTGGAAAGATGTATAACTCGCATCCTAACTCAGGGTTTCTTCAAATCTGGTTTGGAATTGATTACGGCCTTGTATATGGTCATCACATCAACGAACTCTGCCTATGACTATGGTTAATTAGTCTTCGTGTAAATTACAAGGTTGGTCACTGGGATTACTAAAACAGTTTGGTCAAGTTTGGCACTCTCCGTTACCTTCCGTTAATCTCTGCTAACACCGTCAATTTTTTGATGATGTGGCTAACAGAAAGACTGACTCACCAAAATTTAACCTGCCAAGTCATAAAACTCAACTCTCCACATCATTAAAGCATGCCAAGTCACAAAACCTACCCTAACCCAACCAAGAACAAGACCCGACCCAATCCCATCCCATCCCATCCCCATCGGCCATCACCATTCACCATCATCGCAAACTCCAAGGGGTCGTTTGGATGAGGGAATGTGGTAGGATTGTAGTGCAGGATTTTAAAACAATCCCACACAATGAGGGATTTTAATCAAATAACACGTTTGGGAAACCTAAGAATTGTGATTATTAGGAATTTTAAAAACCTGCATATGTGGGATTGTGAAATAGCTGATGAGGGTCAGCTATTTTGAAATCCCTCATTTTTTATTTATTTATTCCAAACTTATCCTTCACCTACAACACACCCTCTTCGTTCTCTTCACCCATCCTCACCGCCGGTCAAACCTTGCCGCCGTCGCTCTCTCTCCCCGATTTCGTCCAATCTCGCCGTCGACCTCTCTCCTTGAAGTCTCCCAGGTCCACCGGAGCAGTTGGAAACTCGGAAATCGCTCAATCTCCCCGATGTTGCACAGGTCACGGTCGCGCACATATCGACCTCTGTTTCCTCCATTTCCAAAGATGATGTCGGCAAATGGCGAGGATGCCGATTTGAAAGGAAGAATCAATTGGTTATAATAACCTAACGCCAGCTTTCCGAATCAACCGTTAAATTTCGACCAAACAGCCATTCCAAAAGGAGGATGCTGTTTCTGTTTCCCTAGTTTTCTGAAAAAGGAGCCCACCCTTGGCGGCGGCGGAGGTGGGGGCGGGGGATCGGCCGGAGCATTCTGGCGGCGAATCAGGCCTTTGGATTCGTCTTCACCGGCGTCGCCGTGGTGGTCGAAGAGCTGGAAGAAGGTTCGTGGGTTGTCGGAGGGGCCGAGGTGGAAGAATTTGGTGCGGCGGTTTAATGGGCGGAAGCGGCAAGGGTACGAGAAATTCAATTACGACGCTACAAGCTACGCCCTTAATTTTGACGAAGGACCAGTGGCTAGCGGCGGCGATTACGACGAGGATATTACCGCAGCATCCCATCAATCTGGTGGGTTTTGTCAATTTTGGTGGTTCGATCGTCTGGTGGAGAAAGGAGAGCAACGTTGGCAGAGGAAGAGGAAGATGGGAAGAAGGACAATATTGTATTTTCAATTCTTATATTAAAATCCTAGGTTTACTTCCAAACAAGTTATTTCATTAAAATTCCTGATGTAGAAAACCTAGGTTTTTAAAACAAGAGATTTGAGCTCAAATCTCTCTTAAATCTCTCAAATTAAAATTCTGCATCCAAACCACCCCCAAAACTCCAAATTTCCCACCTTTTGCCCTCTGTTTCCAATTTCCCCCATCTCTCAACTCTAGATTCCCTCTTGCACTGATTCTTACCATAAATATAACCCAACCAATTACTAAATAACACCGCCCAGTCCCTAGAGAGAAACTGAAATTCAGAGGGAGGAGAGAATCCGATTAATTCCTGTTTAATTCGATTTCGATTTCCCTTATCTCATTTCTTCCTTAGCAATCGAATGGCGCGACAGGCCTTAGCAATCGAAGAAGCAATTAATTTTGTTGGGTCGCTCTCAAATCAGGGGGTGCTCTATCCAGGAGAAGCGGCGAAGAACAAAGGTAGAGAAGAACAAAGAGTACCCTTCTTCTTCTTGCTCTTCGCCGTCAAATCCCACACTAGCGACGATTCCATGTGATATAAGAAGTTAATAAGGTGGATTGGAGGGTAAGAAGATCCAACGACGGCTTCTCAAGCTGGTAGATCTGAAAGCTCGCATTGACGGGGATTTGGAGATGGGGAAGCGAAGATGGATTCTGCTCTGTTTCTTCCCTTTGTCATCTTCGACTCTATAATAAGAATCACTCATCACCATAGCGAGCAACAGTTCCCGGGGATCTTTGGAATTTGGTGGCCGGCGATAGAGGGGGAAAGCTTAGGGTGTTGATCGTTGCGATTATGGTGGGTCGGTCGTCACGGAAAAGAAGGGTTATCTCAAATTGAGGTGAGAGGAAGCAGCAATCGGGTTAAAATAGAGGGTCGGGTCAGATGGGGTTAAATTGGTTGGGTTGGATCTGATGTGGCGGGTTTATGACATGGAGAGTTGGGTTTTATGATATGGCAGGTTAAAAAATGGCGAGTCAGCTTTTCTGTTAGCCACATCATTATAAAAACTGACGGTGTTAATAGAGACTAACGGAAGGTAACGGAGAGTGACAAAACTTGGAATGTTTACCTAATTCTAGTGATTAAAAATGGAATTAAGTATTTTTAGTGACTAAACATGAACTGTTTCAGTAATTCCAGTGACCAACCTTGCAATTTACCCATTAGTCTTCTCTGTGTTTTTAACAAATTAGATAGGGATTTTGGTTCCACTTTGTGGAGACAAAATACTTTATTAATTTTATGGTCATGTGCCATTTTCGATCACCGCTCACCGCCATTTTCGATCATATGGTCATGTGCATGAGTGAGAAGTTTGTGGGTGTGAGACAATGGAGCCATGTGGTTAACAAGAGGACCACGAACCTCTTTGCGAGACATCACATGCTCATCACAAGACTAGCATTGGTGAGATCACTTGGAACATGACCAGGAGATGCAAACTACACTTCAAGACCCATGATGATTTCAAAAGAGAGGCACCTAGTTGGTTGAGAGAGTAACCAATATGTAAGTTTGAAGCATGGTCCATGAAACCGTACCGGAGACCGTATCGGGAAAGTCAGCGGTAGGGTATTTTATGACAAAACAGTGGTTTAACCGTAGTTCAACCGTTAGTACCGTTAAATACCGCCTACCGGTTTAGCCTCCGATATTGGTATTTTGTGGTTGAACCGCCGGTACAGTATGGTTTTATGGACCATGGTTTGAAGACAAGTGCGAGGAAGGAGGGAGTTGTTCTTTTTAGGGAGTTACTAAGCAGACGGTTCTCCAAGGCGGTGACCACCCCACTCCTATAAATAAGAGGGGAGGTCGACAAAGATAGAGGTTCCCAAATCACACAAATGGCGCCAACATCAAGTTTTATCTTTTCTCTGCAAATATAGTCATAGTCGTAGTTTGGAGCTTTCGCTAAACATCCATAAGAGTAGGAATAACCTTATAGATAAACAAGATCAGCGGAAAAACTCTCCCTTCTCTCTCCTTCTGACCTAGATCGAGTTTCAAGGGTGCGGTGACATGGCCACGCCAGAGCCTTTAAATTGGGCTCATCTGTTCGGCGTGGGCGAGGGTAACCGGCTTCGCTATGTCGCACTGAATCTGGTGGATGGGGAGCTTGTTGTTCCTAGGGCGGTTCGTGATGAGGGAGCAGTTAGATGGCGCAATGCTTTGGTGGGTCAGTTTCTCACGGCGGCACCTCCGATTGCTGTGATTCGTCGATGGGCTCAGCGTTTCTGGGGAAGAGATGGTAGGGTTTTTGTTTCAGTGTTTGGTACAAATATGTTCTTGTTTCAATTTGAGAGTGAAGAGTCGAGTATGTGGGTGTTTGAGAATGGCCCTTGGCATTGTGAGAACATTCCCTTGTTTCTCCGCAAATGGGTTCCAGGGATTCAATCAGTTAAGATGGATTGTACTAAGTTGCCGATTTGGATGCGAATTCGAGAGTTGCCGCGGGAGTACATGACAGTGGATGGATTAAGTAGGGTTGCAAGCTTGCTGGGTACACCATTGTGGATGGACCAGGCAACTAAGCTTGGCGCTCAGATGGGTACGACCAAGTCATGTATTGAAATGGCTGTTGATTCCCTTTTCCCAACTGAAATTCGGATTCGTCCTGAGAGAGAGGAGAGGTTGATTATCTCAGTATTCCACCTCGTTCATTATCTCAGTATTCCACCTCATTGTGAACAATGTGCTGAGTTCGGTCATGCTATGGGTGAAGGCTTGGAATGTGGGAAGGCTGCTGCTACTCGACTGGCTGTGGTTGAGGAGGAAGTTGTCATTAATGTTGCTTCAGTTGACAAGTGTAAGGCAGTGGAGAGTGCAGAGGGTGCTACATCAGTATCAGAGGGTTCTGGGGGTTCTGGTGTTCTATAGCATCAGTGGCTCTAGAGATTCAAGGGGTTGTGGGGGAAGCTATTGCTGCCAGCTCTTCTACACCTTTGAGGGAGGATCAGGTGGATGCAGATGGTTTTCAGCTAGTGGTGCGTAGGGCAAAGGTGTATCTGCAGGTCATGATCAAAGTAGCAATGTTAGAATTCCAGCCTCGGCAGCTAGTTATCGAGTGCCGCTAAATCCAAAGAGTATTGAGCTTGTGATTCCTGCTTCTCCAAAGAAGGATGGGAAGAACAGGAGGAAAAAATGAAGTTTCTCAGTTGGAATCTCAGGGGATTCAATGCCCCTGAAAAACATAGATACGTAAATAAAAAGGTATTGAAGTTACAAGTTGAGTTTTTTGCTATTTTGGAAACTAGAGTATTAAAGCATAATGCTGATGATATAAGAAATAAGCGTTTTAGTAGTTGGAAGCAGCTAGATAATTATAAATATTCTCCTTCTGGTCGGGTTTGGCTGTTCTGGAAACCTCATTTGGTAGTTAGTGAAGTTGGAATGGGGAACATTTTATTAGTGTTCGTATTCAGTCTGGCATAGAATCATACCTTGTTACTGCAGTTTATAGCCTAAATAAAGTGCATGATAGGGCAAAGTTATATGATGAGTTGAGACAGTTGGGAGTGACTAGTGAGCCTGGAGTTTGGATAGGGGACTTCAATGCTATTGTTGAAGATAGTGAAGCTTCAAACCGTCCTGGTTTTAATCAGAGTATGGAAGGTTTTCGTTGCTGGATTCAGGATATGAAGCTTACATAAACCATTGGGTTCGTGGTATACTTGGTGGACAAACAGGTTAATAATCCAATTGCAATGCGGATTGATAGGGCCCTGGTTACTGAGAAGTGGTTGGATAGGTTTCCAAATAGTCTAGTGCAGACTCTTGCTCCTGGGGTGTCAGATCATTGTGGATTGCTTGTGCAGACTGACTCTAGACTTACTTTATTGCCAAAACCTTTTAAGTTCTTCTTATTTTGGAGGCAATATCCTCAATAAGAAGAGTTGTTGAGAGAGGCATGGAAGCTGGAGGCTACTGGGGAACCTTATCGAATATTATATAGGAAACTGGGAGAGCTTAAAAGAAGGCTTAAAAGTTTGAATAAGACTATCTACTCTGATCCCTCTGAAGTTAACTCACAGGCTGTACTTCAGCAGGAGAAAATATGCAGGGATCTAGAGAGTGCTGAGGAGTCTTCTATAGGCAAAAGTCGAGGGCAGAAATTAGAGGGGATGCTAATACTAGGTTTTTTCATGGTATGGTTAAGGCCAGGAATCACAAATTGACTATTCAGAAGTTGCTCACTGAGACTAGGGAAGTAGTAACTGATGTGAAAGCAATGAGTATAGTTGCAGTGGATTTTTATAAGCGGCTACTTGGAAATGCAGACGCCTTTGTTCAGCAGCTCCCTAGTAGGTTCTTTGAGGATCTATTGTGTCTGAAGCTTACTGATGAAGATGCTGCTTTACTGACCACTCCAGTTACCAGGGCAGAAATTAAAAAGGTCTTCTTTGGGATGAGTAATGACAAGGCGCCGAGCCTAGATGGGTACATTGCAGAATTTTTTAAGCTGGACTGGGAGGTAGTGGGGACTGAGGTAGAGAACGTTGTGTTGGAGTTTTTTAAAACTGGAGTTATGCCTCGACAGGTAAATTCGACAGTTATCTCTCTTATTCCCAAGCTTCAAGTTGTTGAACGAATGAAAGATTTTAGGCCTATATCCTGTTGCAACGTGATCTATAAGGGCATTTCTATGCTTTTGTCTAATAAGCTGTCATTGGTTTTACCATTGCTAATTAGCATAAGCTAGTCTGCTTTTGTCAAGGGTTGTCTCATTAGTGATAATATTCTAATGGCCACAGATCTAGTAAAGGATTATCATAGGAGTAGAATCTCTTCTAGGTGTGCACTCAAAATTGATTTCACTACAAAAAAATTACCTTTTGCGACGGAAAAATTGCGACGGAAAATAAGTTTGTCGCCAAAGATGAGCTTTTAGCGACGACAATTTTTATTTCGTCGCAGATTGTCTTCGTTTCACATGAAAGGTGAGCTGGTGGATTTCGCGACGCTAAGGTTGCTTATGGCGACGAATTTTGTCATCCCAAAACAGCGTAAGAGAGTGTGCGACGAAGTAATCCGTCGCAGAAGGTGTTGGAGATATTGGCGACGACTTTATTCGTCGCAGAATAGCCTGAGAGATATTGCGACGATTTATTCATCGCTAAAATATAAAGTTTCGGTTATGAATTTGTCCCGACTCAGAACGCCCAAAAATTAGAACAAGCAAAATTTATTTTCCCTCTTGGGCAAGCCGTACAGTGAAACGGCGTCGTATGTTTTGAGCAAATGAGCAACTCGTTTCTTTTAACCAGTGTTATTAAAGCCGAACCGAGCCGCTCGGCCCGACCGGTAAACCAGCTCGAAATAGTCTAAAAGTCGCTCCGGTTTTATGTAGCAGGTTGGCGAGCGGCCGAGGCGGTTAACCGTTCGAGCCAATCGAGCCGCTCGTCCGGTTTTTGCCATTCAACCACTAAATTAATTAAAAAACTTGCAGAAAATTGAAAATTGAAATAAACCAAAAACGTTGGGCTCTCAAACTGAATCATTATTTCCATTTCTCAATTTCGAAGGAAAGAGATGAGCTCTGATTAAGAAATGTCTACTATTTATACTAATAATTTTTATTAGGTACCGGTTCTCTAACGGTTAGAGGTGGCAATTGGATCGGATTCGTGGATTGGATTGGTGGATCAATGGATCAAATGGATTGGATCCAACGGATTGGTGGATTCATGGATTGGATCAAATGGATTGGTGGATTGATCTATGAATCCAAATGACATCCAAGGCTTGGACCAAAATGTAATTTTTGAAAAGTATAGGTACTAAAATGTCATGATGAAAAATTTTAGGTACCAAAATGTAATTTTCCAATGTGATTTTTCGTATAAAAATATAAATTTTAGATACCAAAATGTAAAATATAAAAAATATAGGTACCAAATTGTAATTTGTCATTTGGATCCATGGATTGATCCATGAATCCACCAATCCAATTGGATTTGGATCAAATGGATTGGATTTAAATGTATTAGATTAGGTGGATAATTTGGTGGATGAATTGGATTGGATTCATGGATTTGGATTCAATTGCCACCTCTACTAACGGTTTTTAAACGGTCTAATATCGGTTGGACCACTAATATGCTAACTGTTCGCATTACCGGGTCACGCTCCGGTTCGGTTCTAACAACATATCTTTTAACCCTAGTCGACTCTTACAACTCTTCGTCCTCATCCTCAGCCGTCAATCATCTATGTGAGATCTGACATGTGACCGCCGTTTCCGAATCTCAATCACGGTAATGTTCGATGTCCTTTGATTCTGTCGGTCCTTTCAATTGTGGATTCCATTGGTTTTCTTCTACCGGTTAACTTGTGTCTTTTTGATTATTGACCTTCAATTCGATTTTTCTCTTCCGAACTCAGAACTTGTAGGAAACTAAGATGGTGTGATTAATAAAATTGATAGGCTTCTACTTACCCCTCTTTTGTTAGAATAGGAGCCGCCACAACACCACCAACCTGGGTCGGAAGAGCTCATTGGAGACTGGATCACCTTGAGCAAGCTGGGCAGAGTAGCTTTGGTGGATGCTCTGGCACAGCAGATTCATCAGTGTGTGTGTTTCGGTATCTTTTTGCGTGGGACTATCAGCACATCCTTCTTGGGACTATAAGTCTCAGTAAGTGTAACTTGAGTTTTGATGGAAGAAAATGATACGAGAGATACGACCTATACTTAGTTTATCCTTATCAGTACATCTCGTTGGGAGGGAGGGGATTATCCTATTCCGTGAGAAGCAGATGGGTAACCTAGTTAGTCCTGGTTGGCAATTGTTTTATCAATATCGATTTCTTCTCAATGGGATGAATTTGCAGGATCTACAACAGGTTCCAAGGGCATAATCCTGCAGCAGCATGAACTGCAGAAGAGAATTTCCAGGCATGGAGGCTGTTGGAAGAATCATGTCGACAAGGAACAATTTTGATCAGAAGAAAGTTAAAATAGGATATGCTGAGGTCAATCAGTTTCAGATAATTTGGTAAGAACCTCAAGAGAAACGTCCGCAGGGATCCCAAATGGCCATGAGGTGACTTGCCTCTTCTCTCCTCGTCTTGTGTCAGTCGACTTGCAAGGTAGTTCTATTTGTTGAATAGATGCTAGGTGGGAGAGCTGGTTTGTTACTCGAGTAGCTCTGGACAACAGGTTATCCTTTTGGTTGACATTGGGTTCTTAAGTATTTGACTGAGGAACTTAGTTGAATTACTAATTGGAATTTCTTGAAATTGCAGGTTCCCTTGGTTCACTGAGTTCACGTGGCTCATTGTACAATGAACTGATGAAGTGGCATCATCTATTGGAGACGACCGATTGTACATGCAAACAGAGAATCTGGAGTCCCCCAACAATGCTTCAAAGATTCTATAGAAAAGCTTGCAAGTCATTAGTTGTTTTATATATGAGATGTCAAATGGATTCATTTATTCGATATAGTTGCAGAGGTGGATGTACATACATGAACAGGATTGAATTTATCAATGGTAACTTTCTATAATATTCTTCACTTCAGTTCTCTTTTAACATGTTGGTAATTACTATCTCGACCAATTGTTTATTAATTAATAGATGCAAAAATTTATAGTAGATAAATAGAAAGGACCAAAATGTAAATACAAAAAATTAACCGAAATTATATGGTTTTAGCGACAAATTTATTCGTCGCTAAATCTATCGGTGACGAAATTTTGTCGTCGCTGAAAGTATTACATTTGTGATGGCAGAGCTTTTTTGCGACGAAACATTCCGTCGCTGAAAACTCGCGACGACCTACCATCGTCGCGAATAATGTATTCTGCGACGAAGTGGCTCGTCGCCAAAAAGTAATGCTTCAGCGACGAACAAAACCTTTAGCGACGCTTGCACTATATTCGTCGCAAAACGCCGAGGGCGACGCGGTATACGCGACGGAAACAAGTTGTCTACAGCGACGAAATTTATCGTCGCAGACACCATTTGCGACGATTTTTTGACTTTTTGCGACGAAAATTGTCGTCGCAGAAGGTCTTGTTTGTTGTATGAAAGCCTTTGACTCGGTTGATTGGCTATTTCTGTTTAAAGTTATGAGGGCTAAGGGTATGCTAGACAATTTTGTTAAACTGGTTGAGTCGTGTGTGCAGTCTCCTATGCTTAGTATTTCATTCAATGGAGGATTATGTGGCTATTTCCCTACAGCTAAGGGATTGAGACAGGGGGATCCACTTTCCCCTTATCTCTTCACAATTGCTATGGAAGTGTTTTCATGCCTTTTGAATAGAGCTGTTAGGAGTCATCATATCCCCTTTCATCCTCGTTATAAGAGTTTGGAAATCACACACCTATGCTTTGCGGATGATTTGCTAGTGTTCTCTAATGGATCACCCATGGCATTGGCTGGGATAAAACAGTTACTCTCACAGATTTATTCCATATCTGGCCTTAAATGTAACCCTCAAAAGTGCCAATTGTTATGTGCTGGGCTTTCCCAGGAAGAAAAACAAGTATTATTTGATCAGTTTGGGTTCCCTTTAGGTGAGTTACCTGTCCGTTATTTGGGCGTGCCACTCCTCTTTGGAAAACTGACTTCTCTTGATTGTGATTGTCTTGTTGATAAGATCACTAAAACGATTCAGACTTGGCAAGCTAGAACCCTGAGTTATGCAGGGAAATTGCAATTAATTGATTCAGTTATTACTAGTTTATTCCAGTATTGGATGTCAATCTTTTTGCTTCCTCTAAAGGTGCTCAAACTGATAGAAGATGCTTGTAATAGATTCTTGTGGGGATTTGATGGTACTAAGAGAAAGAAAGCTCTTGTAGCTTGGTCTAAAGTTGCTTTATTAAGGCAGTAGGGTGGATTGGGGATTCGGGACTTTAAGACATGGAATAAGGCATGTGTAATCAGGCATTTATGGAATCTATTAGCTGAAGCAGGGTCTCTTTGGGTGGCCTGAATGAAGAAGTACAGGGTGAAGGGAAGGAGTATATGGGCTATTCCTCCTAGCACAGTTAGCACCTGGGTTTGGAGGAAGATCCTAAAGTGTAGGGTCTTGGAGCAGCATATAACAGGAGCAGGCGAGTCATTGGCATGGGATGCGGTTGTTCTTGCTCGATATTCAGTCAAACAGGTATGGGCATCCATTCGGGTGCCTAGCCAACCTGTGTAATGGTCTTCTGTTGTATGGACCAAGGCGATTTTTCCCAAGCACTGTGTACTACTTTGGTTGATAATATTGGAAAGAGTTAGAACAAAGAAAAAACTGGAAAGTTGGGGACTGAATTGTGATGTTGACTGTGTATACTGCCCTGGTCGGATAGAGACTCATGATCATTTGTTTAATGGTTGCTCTTTTAGTAGGCTGTGTTGAAGGAGCTTTTGCAGGGTGTGTGTTGTTTCCCTGATTTTGCAGATTGAGAGGCTCAGCTTAAATGGGCAGAGACTACCTGGAGTATCTCTACTGATGCAGTAGCAGTTGGGAGAGTCCTGTGGATCATGGGTATAAGCACGCTTTGGAACGAGCGTTGTGCTAGAGTGCATTGAGAAACGGTGGCAATTTCCCCAGCTCAGGTAGTGAAGAAGGTGAAGAAGGAATTCTCAATATTTGCCAGCAGCCAGACCACGTTCCAGTTGAAGGTGCAGAAGGTTATTGGAGCTATAGTATAGAGTGATAGTTTTATGATTGTTTTTCTGGTTTAGTTTACACATTGTAGCAGAACAAGTACACTTTTGAGAGGGAGGATGTGATTGCACCACTCCGGGCTTCAATGCAATTTTGATTAACCATAAAAAAAACTTATTCGTTTTATTATTCCAAAAATCCATTAATCAAACACCTCGTTCAAATTTTATCTGAAGAGGTGTGAGTTGTGTATTAGTAATGGATATCCAAAGAAGTCAAGGCGCATTAATTTTAATTTAACACGAGTGTTTCCCACTGGAAAATAACACTTATCGAAATCAAGGTAAGAGTCTCCTTGAAATTCCTTGGTGAGGGTGAGAATTTGGAGCTGATGGAATGGATTTCAGTAGAAATGAATCGATCCATGAAATGCAAATTTTATGGAATGGGAGCTCAATGGCATATTTTTCTAAATTGGGTCATTTGAGGAATACTATAGGCCAATTGGGTCTTTTCCCGTACTGGTGGCAACTTTGTAATGAGAGAAAATTTGGGTATCAAATAGTAAGTTGGGCAATATTTGTACAAAATTGGAATTGATTGGTTGGACCGAGTTGTCAAAATTAGAAAGTCAAATCTGCCTATGGGTTGAGTTAGGAAATATTGGGTATTGAAACTCTAGGTTTTGGGAAACAGGCACCACTATAAGACCAACAGACTATGGATACCAAATGGTAATTGCCAAATAGAGGGAAAATGGTAAATATCTAAATACTCGGGTGGATCTGAGAAAAGATTAGTCTACGATATTTGAAATGGGCATAATTATACATATATCGAGCCTCGTTTCTTGATCATTTAACTTGACTAGGATAATTTTTTGGTTTGTGCTTCTTTTGTGAGATTTCATATCCTAGTACGTTATTATGAGTTAGTAACGATAGTTGGGACATTTGGAGGTAAAATTGGGACAAAAGCAGCAGAAGTCTCGGCCCAGATGCATAAATCACGACCATGGACCTTGGTGGAATGTCACGGTCTTCTTGTTGTATGTCACGGCCACGACCTAGCTCCCCAAGTCATGACCATGCTCGTGACATACATCATCGAGCCCGTGACTATCCGCAAAGGTTTCAGGATAAATTTTATGTTGTTGTCAGTCATTCATAAGTCACAGCAATTATCGTGACATTAGAAACAAGCCCGTGACCTGCGACACCCCAACTCGATGTCATGCCATGTTCAGGTTCAATATCACGGCCTGACTCTGTGCCACGTCCGTGAGTTTGACCCGTGAGTCAAGAAAAACATAGGATATGTGGATTTCAATGGGCAATTGCAAATGAGATAGATTTTTAGACTCAAAAGGAGCAAAGAAGATCTTAAAGAGAAGTTATGAAATCCCATCCTTGGATCTTCCTAGAGCCATCCAACCACCATTGGAAATTTGGCAGCCGACCCAAGCACCGAGAAGTGAGGAACGACAAGGACAAGCATATATCCAACGTGGAAATGATGATTTCGTTGGATTTTCATGTGTTTTCCCTCATTTCTATGGAGTAATCTCTCTCACAAGGGTGTGAGGAACCCTAGTTTTGTATGTTAGGATGACTAATGATTTTACCATATGATTGTTGAACTCTTTGCTATTTATCTAATTGAAGTATATTCTGGAATTGCATGAGTCTTGATCACACTTTTTCAATTATACTTTAACCTTGGATAGAGAATACCTGATTAGATCAATAGAGCACCTTCAATTGGACATGGTGAATCTATAATACGAGAGTGAGTCAATTCATTGCGTTGTGCTGGAATTCGATCCAGTTGCGGGAGTCTTTCAGTATTGCCTTGGTAGTCTATTTCGGTTGAGGATAGTCTCCCTCCATATAATATATGTTAGGAGGACGTGGTCTGGTTTAGTCAAGATTTTAAACTACTCGAGGACTCTAGGCAATAAAAGTATCGTGTAAATCAATTTAGGAAAGTAAACAACATTGACTTAACTAGGAAGTGTTCATCTCGTACTTGAATTCAGACCAATTTACTTGGTTTTGTTTCATTAGCTTCTGTTAATCGACATCACAATATATTAGCTAGATAATAGATAAGTTCATGAAGTAATAGTAGACTTAGCAGTCCATGTTGACATTTATTATTTTACTTTTGCTACACTGCACTATTTTATTGGTTATATTGGGCTAGTAATTGAAAGAGTAGTTTAGAGCGAGTCAGACTTGCAATGAAAAATCAATTAAATTAGAGGTGAATTGATTGATAACGGTAATGAAAATGAGTACTAAACAAGGATTGAAAAGTCTTACCGGAGGTTAAATCATATTATTCTATGATAGAGCATTTTTTGGTGACCATGGCTGACACGCTATAACACAACATCAAACTGCGACCAAGTGTAATTGCAGTCCGGAAGTACAGTAGCAGGCAAGCTCTAATTGTCAACCAGGGGTCTAAATCTACTGCCTACTCCGTGTATATCTGTTATCTAGCAAACTAATTTGAGTGATTGTGATTTTAACTAAAAGTAGTAAGAAAGCAGGAAATGGTTCGGTTTTCTAAAGCAAAGGAAGAGTCACTCGGGAATGAGTCCCCCTAGCTCCTTAGTTAGGTCTCAGTTGTAATTACCCTGGGTTGATTACTGTTGATTAAACTGCGGAAGATCCGACAGTAGCTTGGAATCTCTTAAGCTGACCAAGCCCTCTCAGGCAGGCTAACCGGCAGGCGACTAACCTTCACTGGGATAGACTGCTGAGACAATAAGCACAGAACTCCACTACTAGAATTGTGTTCCAGTACAAAATCAGTAGATTGATTAACTCTCGTATAACCAATCTACCACTACCGAATTATGAAGCTCTAACAACCTAATCAGATTCTATCTATCTCAGGTTGCAGCAGAAATCAAGAAAAGATGATCAGACTTCAATTGATTCAATGAATCATGCATCATTCGATTAAAATCAAACAGTATAACAATCCCAAGTCATTACAATCAAGATCCCTAACACATGGAACTAGGGTTCTTCATACCCAAGTGAGAGAAGGTTCTACTCCATAGAGAGAGAGAGGGAAACATAATACAAAGCAGTCATAATCATAACTATGGGAACAATCTGCTCTAGGATGATTATCTTCACTCCAAGGATGATTTCCAAGCTTGATTGATGAAACCCAGCTCCAAAAACCACTCTTAGGAGGTGTTCTTCGCACTTTCTCTCTCTAGGGCTCTGTTTTTGCTCCAAAAAGTCGATCCCCTCTCCTTTGGCTCGAAATTGGGTTAAAACCCAGTTGTGCCTGATCACACGGCCAGGCCACACGGCCGTGTGAAATCCCCAGCTGCCCGTGTGGAAGTGCAAAACGCCGCGTTTCACTTAAGTGGCTTCAGGTACGCTACACGGCCAAAACCACACGGCCGTGTGGATTTCAAGTCTGGCCATGTGAGCTCCCTGGACTTTCCACATGGCCACAAGGGGTCCCATACACGGCCAGTGCGATTTTCCCGTGCAAAGTGGTGCCACACGGCCAAGTCACACGGGCGTGTGGAATATTAGTCGTGCCCGTGTGGAATTTCCAGCTTTTCGTCAAACGTCCCAACTTCATCCAATCGACCCCGAACTCGTGCCCAAACCTTCTTTCACGTACTAGGACCTGAAATATCACAAACAAGAACAACCTAGCATGAAATCGGCCTAAAATACGAGAGATGAGACTCAAACGGTACAGGAATGGTGGACAAAAACATGTGTATATATCAAGTCATTAAATTCCCCCACACTTAACCGTTTGCTTGTCCCCAAGCAAACCTGTCTCAAACCAATGCAACTCTCCAGACCACTATATCAACATGCACCCCCGATCGTCGGTAGAGGATTTTCTAGATCATCTAGCAACTTACGAGGTCAACTGGTCTTCTAAGACGCCCCCTATCTCTCTCAATGCAAGTACTAGACTCAAGTCAGGATCATGAAAAGCAGTGGAACTAAGACAATCAATTCATGGATGAGGAGACTCACACAATTCAACAACCAAGGACTCATTGTATCGGGTGCTCTTTCATTTAATTTCATTTCACTTGGTGGAACCCCTTCTTCTTACTAATTTTTTTTTTTTGCTGGGGTTCCAACTGCAGTTTGTATGCGCGGTCTGCCCTTATTAGGTGAGCAAGAGCAATTTCTGTACATCTGTCACTCGCCAGAGTACTTCTTTTAACTCTTATTCCTCACTTCGTGTGGAGGGTCAATGAAATTAAGGGGGGTCGAAAGCTCTATCCGTGCCCTTAATAACACATCCTCAGGTAGGCAAAACGTTCAATGGGTGGAAATTTTACTTGTACTAGAGACAACTTAGCTTCACCTTGTAGGCCTACCCCACCGAGGATCACTAAAATCTCTTCCAAAACCCGATTTTGTGCAATGAACGGTGCAACACACATTGGGCTTACCCCATGTCTTAGAATTTCAAATTTTTGACATGGAGGACCAACTGCCTTTTCATTTCACACTTGAGCACCCTTTTTCGATACACGAGTCCACAACACAACATAAGAGGAGTCATCAATACCACATGAATCAACGGTCCTAAATCCACTAGTTCACAAAATCAACCGGCACAACAGAGAGATAGATAGGAAAAATCTTATACTTCAACATCCTCCATAGTGCTACAACTACCTCCCTAGGTTGCATATCACCATAACGACTGTCAATTCAAAGCATACTGAGCAGGATTTTGCAGGGAACAGTACTTGGAGCCCTCAATTCATCAAATTGGACAGTGGACTAGGCTCCAAGCACACAAACTCATATAGGAGTCAAAAATAGATAAACACCCCCCACACTTAAGCACGACATTGCCCTCAATGGAGTAGAGAGAAAGATAAGGGGAAACGATGTTACCGGGAATACGGACTGTCGGGGGACTGGAAATGGGACCAGTCAGCAGGGCTAGAGCCATCAAAACACACTGGGTGATAAAAGCCATAGTTCCAAGTGGACAAACCGAAAACAAACGAAAGAAAAACAAACCTTGGTGGGGTTGCCTCCCCACAAGCGCTTCTTTACCGTAATGAGTCGGACGGTGGCTCCTAAGTTTCGGTCCATGCTAGAACCTCCTTGAAGTTGAGGTTCTCGTCAATGATGTGGAGTCTCAAGTCACAAGCAGGTGATGTGATA